ACTTTAAACATTACAGAACTTAACAACTATCCAAACTCTACAAACGTTACAAAATCACATGAACATTTCACCGTGCAATGTTTTCATAGAACTCCACTTCACCAAACTTCACTTCACCCCACTTCACTGCACTGCGATACAGGTTGCCACAACGTCAACTGGAACTCACGCCCACTGAAGATGTTTCCTTATTTGCTATTATTAACAGATTTTTTCCCGAATAGACACTAAATTCTAATACATATTGAAAATAATGTAATGAATCTTTATCTGCCCGTAAGGTTTCATTTATTTCACTCTAAATAATTATTATGTAGAACTTGGTCATTTTCCTTGAGTCACTCCTCACATTTAAGTTTTCCGACATGTATCCTGCTGCTCTAATTTTAAGGTATGCCTCATTTTCCCAACTCATCTTTTCAACCATACTGATTCTTGTGAGTCGGGATATTTTCTGCGGTAAATTCACTCAATTGTGAATCTTTAAAATAATGTCACGCACCTTTAAAAAAACTTAAGTGATAGCGAGATAAATAAAACTAAGAGAAAACGAAAAGTTTCTGTATACCGCACATTCCCAACAGTTTCAATATCCTTAAATATCCCCCAAAACTCGGAACTCTGTTAGAAGACCACGAAAAGCGCCAGGAAACGACAACGTTAAACGCTACAACACTTTTAAACTCCGACCCAATAGTAAATTTCAGCTTGCGCTTTCTACTCCAACATAAACTAACGAGACGGGACGGGGACTGCGTCAATATGAATCTTCCGAGCCCCGCACTTCCTCCGTAACGTCTTCGGCAGCAAAAGCAACGTTACGAGGAACGCGAAACGATGATATAGCAGACTTACAGCGCCGTTCATAAAAGAGGGGCTAAATCCCGCCGCTAGGGGACATAAACATCGTTGTTTCCCAATATCCCGTGATGCGAGAGGTATAAATCCGCCGGTTGTCCGGCGGTGACGCGCTGCAGAGGCTGATCCGAATCCGCGCGATGACCGCGCTGCGACGCGCGAGTAACTCGACGAGACGCGTGCGGGAACGTCTGGCGGAGGGAAACGCGCGTGGAAGTGGGGTCAGTGGACCTGGCGAGCTCGGCACAGACTGTAAGGTGGAGCCTTTCCTATAGAAATCGCCCCCCAAATGAATTTTTAAAAAATTGTATTTATCAAATGTTATTTAAATAAGTTCTTTCTGAGTTACAATACAACGAAAAAAAGAACGTTGGAGGTATACCAGATAAATGAATACTGTAACATGGAAACTTATTCAGTATTCGAGGTTAATACAAGTATTACTTGGTATACTTGTAGGAGTTACCAGATCATGATACTGTACAAGTTTTCCTGTTTACTGTATCCTGGATTCTGCTAATATGCTCCACGGTTCTTTTTTTAGTGTATATGTACACGCTGTGACAGGCCAACATGGACCATGTCAAATACACTTTATGCAGTTACCTTCTTCTCCTCCAGGAAGTCCTTCATTGCTGTTAGACTGGCGCAGCTCTTCTTCAGCAGTCCATTCTCTCTGTTCTTCTTTAATGATTATATTATATAACAATAATATAAATAGTTTCTTTGTCGTTCGAATATCTGACAAATTGGGCCGTAACAACTTGTTGTAACCTGACAAATTGTCCGTAACGCATTTGAGCTGTTTGCAAAAGGACAGGGAAGAGAAAAGCGTTGCTGTCACTTCTTCCGCGCCATAAAGGCCTATGTAACGAGGAGGAGTGACGTTCATGCATTGCCTGCAGAGGGTTATACCCGGCAACGAACGTTGAATCCAGGCAAGCCTTAAGGGTGGGGATCTAGGGTTTGTTGGAAAAGGCGTGCTCACCAGTAGTTTTAACCATGGTCCTCAGCAAGTAGCAATGAGCATCAAATAGTTTCCAAATACGGCGGGTAGGAGCGCTACTCCCTTAAGCGTGCATCGAAGGCGAGAAGTCTACGGTGCTGTAGTCCTTGTTATCTGAAGACATTTACGCAAGTGGCAATGCAAATGCAATGCAATGCAATGCAAATGCATGCAATGCAATGCAATGCAAATGCAATGCAATGCAATGGCAGATTGCAATGCAATGCATGCAAATGCATATGCAAATGCAATGCAATGCAAATGCAATGCAATGCCAATCAATGCAATGCAATGGCAATGCAATGCAATGCAATGAAGTGCATGAAGTGCACATGAAATGCAAATGAAGTGCAATGAAGTGCAAGAAATGCAATGCAATGCAATGAAATGTTATGAATGGCAATGAAATGCGAATGCATATGCTAATGCAAATGCATTTTGTAATGCAATGCAATATGCATTGCATACCTGCCATTGCAGCTTCCCCCTTTGGAAGAACATGAGCGCGACTGTCAGTGACTGACTTGTACATCCTGAAA